AGAGAGAGAGAGAGAGAGAGAGAGAGACTGAGACAGAGAGAGAGAGACTTTGTCTATCTTCTATGTTCTTAACTCTACTTTCAGTCATATCTCATCACTCTTGGTTAACTTTGAATTTAGTCATTATTTTTTAGATGATTTTTTTTTTTTCCATTTATTTCATTTCTGTCCAGGGTTTGGTCAACTTCCACCTTTCACTTTCCTGTTATTTGTACACTTATAATCTAAGTTTTTTATTTTCTGATTAATGATGTTTATTTATATCTGCATTTTTCTTACCAAAAACCATACCCATTGCTGTCAAATCATTCCAATTCATAGGTACCCTATAGAACAGAGTAGAACTGCCCCCATAGGGTTTCCAAGGCTATAATATTAACAGAAACAAGCTGCCACATCTCTCTTCCATGGAATGGTGATGTGTTCAAACCACCAACTTTTTTATTAACATCTGATCACTTAACTAATGTGTCACTAAAATTCCTCATAGTATTCTTTATCATATATAATTCACATTTAACAGTATATGTTATACTCATTTTTCATGTTTTCTTTCCTTTGTGTGTGTGTGTGTGTGTGTGTGTGTATGTGGTTGTTATTGGAGAGTGGGTTCATCTGCCAAGAAGTTTTAGCTGGTGCTCTTTTTTGTTTTTTTAATAACTTTTCATGGAAGTTGGGTTGTTGTCAATGACATTTTGTGTATTAGGTTTTCCTGTATTATCAGTATTAAAAGATCTATGGGGATGGGGTTTTAGTAACTTTTGCTGTTTCTTAGTTTCAAAAGTACCTATTCTCTTGCCGCAGTGAACTGCACTTTCCTTTATAAATTGTCCTTTTTGCCTTCAACTTCTTTGAAACAATCATGTTTCATTGGGCTCCTTCACTTCAGTCATTCTTATCATCCACCACTGAACTTTCAAAGGACCGTTCACCTCTCTTTCCCTCCAAAGTTAAGAGTTGCCAAGATTATAATTTCTGATCCTATGTATTTTACAACCCTCTTCTTCAACTCTGCAGCAGCTACTATGTAGATCTTTCAGGCCTCAGACATACTTTCAGTATTTCCTTTCTTTAAGGCATTACTCTGTCATTCTTGGGGTGAATCTTAGCTGATATGTTCTCTGTACCACTACCATAAGGACCAAGCCATATTTGCTTCTAGTCTGTATATATCCTACATGACTCTGAACTTTTGTAAACTCTGGAGGTAACTTGGCTGGTCTTGGAATTTTACTTCTACACTTTTAACACAAGCATTACATTTGGGATGCTCAGTTTTCATTGATTATGGCTGTTCTCTCTCATTTACTACTATTTCTATTGTTTTGTTTTGTTTTTTTCTTTTTTTCTTGCAGAATTGCCTTCTCAGTGGGAATTAGGCTTAGTAGGAATTAGCCTCAGGATAACCCTTGAACTTTAGAACTGAAATATTACAAAATTGTCCTCTCTGTTTATCAGAAAAAAAGTCAGATTTCTAATAGGTAGTTATAGTCCAAACTCTCTGGTATTAATTTTGATTACTATTTTTGTATTTGTTTTTTGTGCTTATATGTGTCTACTTTTTTTTCAGCTGCCTATTGAATCACTCTTCTATCGTGCTGTCCTTCAGGATATTATTAAAGATTGCTATGGTATCACCAAATGGTATGATGACTTTATTTTAATTAGAATAACTATGTTGTATTTTAAGTGAAATGATTTTTAGGTTTCATGTGAATTTATGCTAGGCCACTATTATTGGTAGACTAAGCTTTGAATTTGAGCACAATGCCAGTAATTAACTGAAGTAAACAACAACTATATCTTAGATTAATTATCATTAAATTGACACCATAATGATTCTTCTTGTCCTGAAAGCTTGTTGTGATGATAAAGTAATACAGTGAGGCCCAGAAGTTATGAACATTTGACTTATGAAATGCTCGTACTTGCCCTTTAATGTTATATAAATTTGCCCTTAGTTTGAAATGATTGAACGAATCCTTACTTGCAACAAATTCTTCATCACAATCACCTTCACTTGCTGCATGTGCAACTTTTAAAACACTGAAAAGGCTTCGAGCCTTTTCTCACACTACAGTAAGACTAAAATTTGACTTAAAAACACTTAGGAACAGATCTTGTTCATAACCCTGGGACTGCTAAATTGTACTATAGAATTTTAGTAATGTTAAAATGTTGTATATGAGTAACTCCATAAATATAATAATATCATATGAGCAGGAGTTATATTTAAAAGGTTTCATATCCAATACAGCATAAAAAGTTATTAATTAGAGCAGAGCAGATATTCTTCATAAACACTATTATGGCCATATTGTTCTCTATTGGTTGAATTGTAGCCCGGTAGATACTTTGTTTTGTTTCTCTCTTCCCAAACTAATA